AACAAGCAAGCCAGCCAGCAAGCAAGCCAGCAAACAAACAAATAAACCAGCCAGTCAGCAAGGAAGCAAGCAAAGTACATGCTGCGTACCCATCGCGTGCGCGCCACTCTGCCCCGTGGCGAATGAGACGGGACACCAGGTCCGGTTTGCCGATCCAGGCGGCGATGTGAAGTAGCGAGCGTCCTTGAAAGTCTGTTTCATTGACATCAATTCCTCCAACAGATGACCCAGACAACAGCTGTTCACATCACACACACACACACACATCACACACACACACACACACACACACACACACACACACACACACACACACACACACACACACACACACACACACACACACACACACACACACACACACACACACACACACACACACACACACACACACACACACACACACACACACACACACGCACACACACACACACACGCACACACACACACACACACACACGCACCAGAGAGCGCATCTGCTGCTCCGATGATGCTGACGATTTCAACGTGGATACCAGGCACCACGTGCACCTTCGTGCCCTCCTCCAAGCACACGATGCCAAAGGGTGTACACACCAAGATGATGGCCGTGTTGTACGTTTCCTGTTGAGTGCATGGCAATTGAGCAGATGAGTGATAGGACGAAAAATGGGTGGGGTGATCGGGAAGCAACCAAGCACAGACACAGACAGATATACAGACAGACAGACAGACGGACAGACAGACAGACAGGCACATACACATACACACACGCATACACATACACACACACAGACGCGCACGCACACGCACGCACACGCACGCGCGCAGACACACACGTAGATATCTTTGCATGCGCGATAACAAGCCTCTACTGTCGTCAAGGGTTTGTTGTCCGTCCTGTCAGAGGGGACATGTACAGGACGAACACGCGCAAAGGACATGTGTGGGCAGGGGCGGCACAGGTGGAGGGGCAGAGAGAGGAGTGGGCACAGGGAAGCAGATTCACACACACAGACACACAGACACAGACAGACACAGACACACGCCCACAGACAGACAGACAGACAGACAGACAGACAGACACACACACACACACACACACACACACACACACACACACACACACACACACACACACACACACACACACACACACACACACACACACGCACACGCACCATCGGAGCAGTGTGGGTGCCTCCCATTCGTTGACGATTAGGACATGTGCACGTGCGACGATCCGGGTGATGACGGCGGGGTCAAAGTTTGCAGAGAGGGGGGACGCCTTGACCACAATGGTGAGATTGGAACCGCACCGCGCACTCGCTTCCTCCAACGCCTGACGCGGGAGTAATGGCGTGAGATACGATACAGCAACACAGGAGAGAGGAAACCTTGGGAGGAGGGGGCACACACAGTGCAATGGAAGGCGACTAACTCACACACACGCAAACACACACACACACACAGACACAGACACAGACACAGACACAGACACACCTTTGCAACGGCTTCGTGCTGGACTTCGAGTTGAACGAGGAGGACGCGTTTCCTCTTCTCATCACTACTGAGCAGCTCGACCACATTGTGCACATCCTCATCGTTCACTGCCTCGTTTGCCGCAGCATGCGTCACTGTCACCTTGCCCTGGTATGGCAAGAGAATGTCGGTGCATGAGTGATAAGTGTGTGAGTGTGAATGTGAGAGTGAGTGTGAGTGTGTGAGAGTGAGAGTGTGTGTGAGAGTGAGAGTGTGTGTGAGAGTGAGAGTGTGTGAGAGTGAGAGTGTGTGTGAGAGTGAGAGTGTGTGTGAAGTGTGTGAGTGTGAGAGTGTGTGAGTGTGTGAGTGTGTGTGTGAGTGCGTGTGAGTGTGTGTGTGTGTGAGTGCGTGTGAGAGTGTGTGTGATTGATCGTCACGTCTGTGTACTTGGATATTCATCGTCACGTCTGTGTACTTGGATATTCACGTGGATGTACACGTATGTGCATGTGTGCCCGTTCTGACTGACCTGGACTTGTTGGGGATCTGACGAAAGCACATGCAGACGCATCGCCACAGTGAGAAGGAAGGGTGATAGAAGGACAGATCACATTTCATGGTCAACACAACCACATCTTCATCTTTCATCACAGACGCAGACACACAGCACAGACGCAACAATACGGATACACATACACGCGCACCTTGTGGACATGGGAGACGTCGACGTGATTGAGGCGTAGGGAGCGCAGTGCAATGTCGCTGAACTCGTCTTGGCCAACGCGGGCCACCATACTTGTGTTGATACCGAGGCGAGCAAGCGCAACAGCGGCGTTGGCACCTTTGCCACCAGGCAGCGTCTCAAACACCCTGCACCGCGTGTTGGAGTTCTTCTGCGCTTGTGGTTGCGCGACAATGGTGGCAGTTGTGAGAAAGTACGTGCACGTGTGTGAGTGAGTGTGTGTGTGTGTGTGTGTGTGTGTGTAAGTGTGTGTGTGTGTGTGTGCATTTCACTGTTGTCTGTTAACGCGGCGCACGTATCCAATTGTAGTCAAAGCAAGTGACAAGCGTACAGCGCAATGCGCACCTGTGGCAGTGATGGTAGTTCCGTGAGGAGATCGATGTTGATGCTTCCAAACACGACGGCGTGCACATCCTGTATTGACACACGATCAACAAGACTGTGGGCAGCGGGATCGGAAGGACAAGAGGAGGGCACACATCGTCTTCAGACACACACACACACACACACACACACACAGACACACACACACACACACACACACACACACACAGACACACAGACACACACACACCGACACACACACAGCCAACCTCGATCGTGGAGAGACTGCCTCGACGAGTGCGCACAGGGCGCGAGTCCTGTCGCTGCAGTGGCAGCAGACTGTCACCACCTTGCTGCTCTTGCTGTTGTTGCTGTTGTTGTTGTGTCTGGGCAGCATCGTCCCCACCCGTGCGTGGTTGATCCTGCACACCAAGCCCTTGGTCGGACGCAAGCTTCTCCACCCTTGTCTGCAGCGTATCCAGGCGTGTATTCTGTGCGGCGTGTGTGTGTGAGCGTGTATGTGTGTGCGTGTGAGCGTGTGTGTACGTGTGTGTGTGTGCGTGTGTGTTCACAACCACATGCGCGCTTCGTTCTTTCTGCAGCACCTCATATACACGCACACACACGCTACTTCAACCCTACTGACAATCATTTGCCATTTCCTGTCCATCTGTCTTGTTGCGGCTGCAAACATGCTGCGAACAGCAGCAGCAGCACCAGCGTGCCGTTGCTTGCTTGCGTCTGTCTCCATATCCGTTGCTGTCCTTCGCAGTGTGTGCGCGACAAATCCCAACAAGCAACAAGTGAGTGAAAAGCAAAACGGACACTGCTGACGATGCAAACAAGGACTGTTTGTGGTGCTGTGCTTGTGGGCGTTGGTGGTGTTGTTGGTGGCTGGTGGCTGTGTGGATGGCTGCGAGAGCAGTGGCAGCGGGGGCGGAGAGCGAGAAGCAAGGACACGGGTGCGTGGGGCGACTTGGAGATGCTGAAGCCAGATAGCGGAGCGTCCAAGGACGAAGTGGCGGAGCGATATGCGCGTCTGCGGCTGCAGCACGGCGACAACACCATCTGCACCCTGTCGCGGCAGGTGTTGACGAGCGTGCTTGGCTACGATCCCAGCGACCAGGAGTCGCCTGTCCTGCAGGCCTTCCGCCCTTTGAAGACAGGCACACACTGCTCGTTCGCCAAGCGGGCTGTTGTCTGGGCTTGCCATGGCAGCTTTTCCCTGGAGACCATAAGCACAGGCGCCTGCGGCATCGCTGATGGTGACGATGTGGACGCCGTCGATGCGACGCTGCGCGCAATGGCACTGTTCGCTTCAGCCTGCCACAAGATTGACGCGTTCGTGATTGCCTTACCACCGGCTTCAACCATCCAGGAGCACGGCAGCAACGTGCGCCGACTCCTCACCTGGCTGTCGTGAGTGGTCGATGCGTATGTACATTGTGTCGTGTGTGGTGGTGTGTTTGTGCACGATGTGGTGTGCATGTGCATTGCTTGAGCAGCTGCGCTTTCGTGGGCTTGCTTGCGCTGGCTTGCTTGTTTAAGCGTACAAGTACAGACAGAGATTGTAATGTCGCTGCTAACGCTTCTTCTGATGCTGCTGCCATGCACAACAAACTTGCACAACGAACCCCTCATGACATTACACCAGAGACATGGATCCGTCTGGACGGAGGTGCATGGCGAAAAGCGTGGACAAGAGCCGCTGGGTGTTTACCTTTGCGGGCAACGAGTTCTTCATCACCACCTTTGCGCCGTGCTACCCGCGGCAGTCGAGCCGATACCAGTTTGGTGTCAGGGACGCCGCCTTCATCTTGTTTCAGGTGCGTTCAGATGGGCGTGTGTTGGATCGTGCTTCTGCACTTGAGTCGCTGACAGTCCAAAGATCGGTGTTGCATTTTCATCAGCTGATCGGTGGCTCTAGCTGGCAGTGTCAGAGTGTTCCTCGCCACCTGGCTCACGTCTCCCACTGCGTTGGTGTTCGTGTCTCGTAGCCCTACCACTCCTTTTTGCTGCATCGCGTTGGCGTCGAGACGTCGAGATCGGAGACAAACTACACACACCCTGCCAACGTCCGAGACGAAATCAGGTTGGTGTGCGTGTGCGTGTGCGTGCGTGTGTGTGCGTGTGTGTGTGTGTGTGTGTGTGTGTGTGTGTGTGTGTGTGTGTGTGTGTGTGTGTGTGTGTGTGTGTGTGTGTGTGTGTGTGTGTGTGTAGCTGTGGTCGTTGTCCTGCACTTGCGACAGCGGAGAACTTTCCTCTCACATGTTCGAATCTTCACCCATCGGGATCACCACACCGACGATTATCACCACCACCACAGAGCGCGGTTTGCGAGGCATGGCAGCCCTTACTTTGTACCCGAGGACCCAGCACGCATGCCCAACTGCCACCAGGCGGTGTCTCCCCTCACGTTACATGCACCGGCTGTGCGGTGGTGGCTGGACACATGCCCACTCTCACGCCACACCTTACAGCAGTTGGAGGTGATGGGCTGGAAGGAAGAGGGGTGACAACAGAGCAAGATGCTTACGGGGGGGGTTTGTGTGTGCGCGTGTTTGTGTGTGCGCGTGTTTGTGTGTGTGTGTGTGTGTGTGTGTGTGTGTGTGTGTGTGTGTGTGTGTGTGTGTGTGTGTGTGTGTGTGTGTGTGTGTGTGTGGTCGCGCGCGTCTGTTCCCTCGTTCTCTCTCTCTCTCTCTCTCTGCGCGTATTCGCTGCACTATTTGAACGCTTGCTACTACATCTCTCTCAAACGATGAAGAAGAAACAAAGTCCATTTATGTTAATCAAAAGCCAATCTCACTTACACAGACAGACATACAAAAACACCCAGCCACACAGCCACACTGTGCATCAAAGAATGAGAGAATACGATATATGCCCAGGTATCAATGCCATCTTGCCATGCCAACGAGACCAACCATGTCATGACCCACCCACACACCCACACCCACACCCACACCCACACCCCCACATCCAAGGGTGTGGTGCGTTGCCTGTTAAGGAAAGGTCTCATCCATGGCACCATCGGTCTGTGTCCACGACGTCAGCATCATGACGGGGCTGCTGCGGCGCTTGGCTGTTGTCGTTGAGGTGTGCAGCGTCAGGTGCAGGCGAATGCCCTCAGCAGGCCCGCAGATCTGAATCAGGTCTTGCTTCGTCACGCTCAGCAGCACCTCGCCTGCAGTGGGCCGGGCGAAGGAGAGAAAGAGAGAGAGAAAGCGGAGGGAGGGGGGATGGACAGGACAATGGGGTGAGGTACGACAACGACAGAGGGTGGTCAGGGAGGAAAATGAATAGAGACGAAGGGTGCACAAGCTACGCACCATGTTCGCAAACGCGCACATGAACATGTATGCAAACACACACAGCACAGCACACAGCACATACAGCACACACAGAGCACATACAATACACGCACATACAGCACACAGCACAGCCGCAGACCTGAGTAGTATTGCAGGGCGGGGATGATGGAGTGGAAGTTGTGGTACTCGAGCCACTGTCGCACGTGGTCGGCGGTGGACGTCGCCGTGATGCGCGCTGGACGCGTGCGGCTCATGCGCGAAAAGGTATTCGAATCACCAGTCCCTGACGCGTACTCACGCTGCTGCTGCTGTTGGTGGTCGGTGCCAACAGCAGGGGACATGGCGGTTGTGGCTGTGGATGTGGCTGTGGCTGTGGCCAGTGCAGCTGTGGGGTGGGTGGAAGACACAGCGGTGCTTGGCAGCGATGATGTGTCAGCAGGCGGCGAGGGTGCCATGTGCAGAGAATTGCTCGCAGTTGTGTTGAAGTCATCGAGGGCCTGCAAAAACGTCAAATCAAACAACGCATCCTGTGACTGCTGATGGTGCTGATGGTGCTGATGGTGGTGGTGGTGGTGGTGGTCAGCGGGCTGTGCCTGTTGCGATGCCAGCGCGTGACGCATCCAGTGTTGCTGCTGCTGCTGCTGCTGCTGCTGTTGCGCATCACCAGAATCGCCCTGTGCACCACCGACTTCGCCGTTGCCACCGCTGTTGCTGCAGCCACTGGCATCCCCTGCGTGTGGGGAGGGCGGGAGTGCAGACAGCATGGACGCAAACAGCTGGCTTGTCGTGTCGTCGCCATCATCGCCGCCGCTGTGTTGCGTCATGTCATGGGCAGGCGAGGCAGCTGTTGACGCAAACAGCGACAAGGCGGGCTCGTGCGACCACCCAGCTTGCTGTTGCTGTAGCTGCTGCTGCTGCTGCTGCTGCTGATCGTGCTGCTGATCGTAGCGATGTTGTGGTTTGGTGGCCGCTGGTGACGACACAAACAGCGGTGCATGCTGAAAGTGATGCTGGTGTTGCTGTTGGAGGTGTTGGTTGTCGTGTTGCTGTGTGGGGGCACCTTGCCCCTGCTGAAATCCATCATAAGCATGGGCGTGCTCTTGCTGCTGCTGTTGTTGTTGTGGTTGCTGTGGCTGTTGTTGTGGCTGTTGGTGGTGGTGGTGCTCTCGGGATTGGATGTCGAGGTCGCGGCTGAGGGCGTCTGACAGCAGCAGCTGCCCCGTCTCATCGCGCCGACTTCGACTGCTGTTGCTGTTGCTGTTGCTGTTGCTGTTGCTGTTGCTGCTGCTGCTGCTGCTGCCCATGCCCATTGGCGGGACATGCTCCAAGCCAGTTCCCCACTGCTGCTGCTGCTGCTGCTGCTGCTGCTGTTGTTGGTGATGTAGAAACAGGCCTGGCGAGCGCCTGTGCTCGCGGGTGTGGCGCAGCGTGTGTCTGTTTGGACTGTGCGGCGCATGTCTCGTGCGCTCGTGATGCGGGAGGCGGGATGGTGGCAGCTGCTGGCGTGCCATCTTGCGCGGCTGGTCGTGGCGGCCACGCACCCGCGCTGACGAATGCGACGACGAGGAGGGCGATGATGGCGACGACACAGAGGTCGTCGTTGTTGCGGTGGTGGTGGTGGTGGTGGTGCCTGGTGATGGGAGGTGGGTTTGTGGTGCCGATTGGAGGTGAGCAGCCTGCACGGGGGTGGTCGATGGTCGTGTCACCATGGAAGGTGTCGATGGTGTTGATAGGGCGTGGACGCCGTGGTCCATCCCGCGGTACCGCTTCAGCTGCGACGCAGCGCCACCACCACCAAGGCTGCTGCTGCTGCTCGTGGCAGGAGTGGTGGCTGTGGTGGTGGCGATGCTCACACCCGGCTGCTGCTGTCGAGGTAGGGGTGTCTGCACTGGTGTGTGTACGGACTCCTCATTCCCATCAGCAGCAGCATCAACATCAGCATGAGCAAGGATGGCAGCATCAGCAGCGTGAGTGGCAGGGGTGGCGGTGGGCTGGCTCGTGGGCGCCTTCTTTGCGAGTGCGCTGTCACTGCCACGACGACTGCTTGTGTTGCTGCCGTCGCTGTCGCTGCTTGTGCACGGTGTGGTTGCGTCTGTCTGTCGGTAGCGCGCAAACACACCGCCCTCCGCCTCCGTCCCGCCCTCGACAAGTTGTTGTTGTTGTTGTTGTTGTTGTTGTTGTTGTTGTCCATGGTGTTGTTGTTGTTGTTGTTGTTGTTGTTGTTGTTGTTGTTGTTGTTGTTGTTGTTGTTGTTGTTGTTGTTGTTGTCTGTTGTTGTTGTTGTTGTTGTCATGGTGTTGTTGTTGTTGTTGTTGTTGTTGTTGTTGTTGTTGTTGTTGTTGTTGTTGTTGTTGTTGTTGTTGTTGTTGTCCATGTTGTTGTTGTTGTCCATGGTGTTGTTGTTGTTGTCCATGTTGGTGTCTCCTTGCTTCGTCCACGACGTCCTCCTCCTCCTTGGCCACACGTGTCGGCGTCAGCTGCAGGCGCGACAACAGATCAAACTGCGACGGCTCATCCACCATCGCCGGCAACTGCTGATGATGTTGGTGCTGTGATTGCTGCTGGTGGTGCTGTTGCGCGTGGTGCGGGTAGTCCCCCTGAGGCGTCAGCACGGTGTGCACTTGGCCCGGAATATACCCCTGACAGCAGCAGCGCAAAAACGCACAACAGGTCTGGAGTGAGTGCTGAGGTCACACATAGTGGTGACACAGACACACGCAATCCTGCGAGTGCGAGAGGGCAGTGTGTACTTGGTACCTGTTTTGTGTTCTTCCTGGCGCGCTCGAGATCCGAGCGGAGGCGGCGGTTGACGACACCCGCATTTGTAAACACCTGGCAGAAACGAGCACACACGTACACGGACACGAGTACACAGGGACACACACACACACACACACACACACACACACACACACACACACACACACACGCACACACACACGGATATGCAGACAGGCATGAGCACGAGCGCAAGATGGAAGCGTGAGACTAGCGAAAAACACACAGCTACAACGAGTGCGTGTGTGTTTGCATGAACAATGGCCATTTCGGTTGAAGAAACAGCTCACCTTGACGCAGCAAGAGAAGGATTGCTTTGCTTCACCCTCGCCTGCTGTGAAACGTGGTCGAAGCAAGCCATTGCGCAAAATGAGAATTGGGCAGGCGTACATCACACACACACACACACACACACACACACACACACACACACACACACACACAAATTTGCACGCAACTACAACCACGCGCATGCCTGCATTTGAGCATGCTATCACCACTTGCTCTCCCTTACCTGTGTCGAGAGAGAGTTTGAAGCGATACCCGGCCTGGCCTCCATGTCCACCCTTGAACGACGTGCTGAGGCAGTTCACCTTTCCACACGGCATTGAGTGATTGAGGGTGTGCGGTGGATGCAACGTAAACGGATCACACGAAGCAAGCGCAGGAGAGGTGGGAATGGGGATGACAGCAGGGACGAAACAACTTAGCAAGAAGCGGTGGTGACTCCTTTGTTGGGAAGGCGCACCTTGAATGCAAGTGTCGCGGATTGCGACCAGGTGAAGGAGATTGACCCGAGCAGATCGGGTACCGGCGCCGTCTGCCGCGCTTCGTGGATACCGTGCGAAGCAAGCGCATCTAATACCAGCACGCACACACGCACACACACACACACATACACACACACACACACGCATGCACATACACACACACACACACAGAGTCACACACAACAAAAGGCGACCCATGAGGACACATGAGGAAACGTGCCATGATCACAGCTGCACGCGAAGGACAGGAAATGTGTCGACAGCTTACCAAGCTCGAGAATGCCCTGCTGTGGACGCTGCGCCAGCCATGCCACGACCGCATCTCGCGCGTTGTCGCAGTCGTTCTTGGACACAAAGTCAAACTTGATGGCGGCCTAAACCAGCAAAACGGGCCGTGTTTGAATGTGTGTGCGTGTGTATATGAGTGAGTGTGCGTGTACGTATGAATGTGTGAAGGTGTGTGCCTCTTGTTGTGTCGCCACCAAGAACAACACAAAAAAACCAAAAACAAAGAAGAACAACAACAGCGGAGACAGACAGACACACACGCGCGCGCGCACGCACGCACACACACACACACACACACACACACACACGCGCGCGCGCGCGCACAC